CCCCAAAACCCCAAAACCCCAAAACCCCAAAACCCCGAATGTTTCGAAGATTATAGAAATAAAAATAAATTAAATATGAACAACAAAGCAGGTAAGAGGTTGTCATGAATAATATAGAATTTGAAGAATTTATGAAGGATAGGATATCACTTCAACAAACTGAAAGTCCCCCAAGATTAGCTCCAAGGTATATTTTTCATTTTTGTTTAATGTTTTTCAGAAAAATAATAAAGAAGTCTCTTAAAAAATATACCCGAGCGAGTAAAGGCAACAAAAAGTACGATCTTCTAAATTTGATGAAGTTTAATATTAAGATAATCGTATTTTAAATGGATTTTAACTTAACTAGTGCATAGATAGAAAAGGCTCAGAGTATTAATACTTTGAATTCAACGAATTCCATCGATTCTAAAGATTTTAGATTAAAACTAGAACAATATGAATTCCGTCTGTTAAAAAATACCTCTGTCGTTTTCAAAATGAGCTGAAATAAATTTTATTATTCGAAAACTTATGTAATTATTGTTACAGTGCTTATAAATAAGGATCACATTTTTGAATTTACTTCTTTCTAATAGTAATATATATTTTTCGTGAATATTCAAATTCTCAAATAATACATCAATAAAACTTTTCAATATAAAAGAAATAGCAAACTAAAATTCAAGCTAGTAAAAGAAAATGCTAAGCTCTTGAAAAGACTTCAAAATCAGAAATCTCATTATGAAGATACCACATTGCCTAATGTCAAGCACAAATAAGATTCTTAAAAACATATCCAAATTCCCAACTCCTCAAAAATCTACTCAAAAACTAACAAGTGATTATAACGACAACACCAAACTCTCTGAGCTGGATTCTCGAGACAATAGCGTGAACAATTTTTATAATAAAAGCTTTAATAAGTTTAACAGCTACAAGTTGCTTGAAAGTGATGCTTATAAGCGCCAGAGATTCCACTTTATGGATGATGAAGACAAAGTAAAGCAACCATTGTTAACATTATAGAAGCAAGAAAAACAGTTAAAATTAAACCAGTGAATCCACGAATATTTTTTGAACAATACTTTTAGAAGCAGAAAGTCAAGTAGGAAGTATCAGACTACTCTGAGTAAAGGAATGTATGAACTCAAACCTGAGAGAATTGTTGTTTATAAGAAAGGCAAGGTTCTTGGAGTTGGTAAGCCCATAATCTTATTTTTAGGCAAGAATACAGGATATTATCTAGTAGAGTTCTCATATGACCAAAACAAATTCATAATTCATCTCAGTGATATTGAAACTAGTGATGAATACGTAAAAGAACTTACTCTTCAGAGAGCAGAGGATTTACTTAAGGTCTATGAAAATGATTATGATACCTTTGCAGAGACTTTATTGATCAGAGGAAACCAGGTTGTTCTTGGAAACAAGCTAATTAAGAAAATTGAAAGTAATGATAAAATGTTTGCAAGGAATATACATGATTGGAAAAAGAATTCTTTCCAGATTGATTCCCAGAAAAATCGCACTAAAAGCATCTTAAACAACACTTTTAGAAAAAGAATTAAATCGAAAGCTTATAACACTATTCATAAAGTTATTTTGTAAGTTATAATGAGACTGATCTTTAGAGCTCAAAGTCAGATCAGTGCGATTCATCAGAGATCAAAGAGTGTTAATAAAGCAATGTAAATAAGTATTTTTAACGTTTTAGAAAATGGTTTAAAGAAAGCAAAAAATTCCAACAAGTTCCTATAAAGCAAGAAAATACTCCATTTACTCGTTCAACGGTCAACCTTGAAAAATTAGTTCAGAAAAACATGATTTTTAGCGATATAATGCAACATGCATAAAGGCTGGTTTGGTTCCTAAAAAGTTTCAATATCTGTGCATTTTTATGGGGTTTTGGGGTTTTGGGGTTTTGGGGTTTTGGGG